AAAGGAGGGGATGGGAAAGAGAGAGGGTATGAATGAAAATGTGTTTGTGATGTCAGGAAGAATAGTGTCCCAAAGTGTTATTTCACTGTGATGATTAAAACAAACAAACAAACAAAAAAACGTGAAAGAAGTCATATTATGGTGGCAGTTAGTGTAATCTCATGGATAACTTCCAGCATACAGTGGGCTTTCTCCAGTTGTCTGTAACAGGGACAGACGCCTGGAGGGAAAATGCAATCTCAGGAGGGCCTTCTTTGCTCTCCCTGTTGTATCTGGGTGACGGCTAATCCTGGCTTCCAACATGCCTTTCCCAGCTGAACCGGGCATTATGCCAGCAAAGGAAATTGGAGTCCATCTAAGCCTCACCTGTCTTTTCAATTCCAAATAGATGTTGGACATCTCCCATGTTACAGCAGGAAGACAAAAATTTGGTGATGGTGATGACGAAGATGGTAGTGGTGACAATAATGGATACAGAGTCAGGAAGTGTGGGATAGTGGGGCTGACTTCATGGGAGAGCTGACATTGAAATCAGACTCTGATGGACACTGGCAGAGGGCAGATTAAGACTTAAGAAATATGGTAAGAAAGTTCAAGGAGGTAAGGCAGTGCATGGAGCCTTCACACCATTTTGAGAAGTTTGGACTTTATGGACAATGGTTGGTCCTGCAGAATTTTGAGGAGGGCAATCCATGACATAATCTTCCTTATGTTTTAAAAGGCAACTATGGAACTGTGCTAAAACCATAGCCACCAGCCACATGTGGTTATGAGCCTTGAAATGTAATTAGTCTGAGTACAGATGTAAGTAAGTATAAAATATACACTGGGTTTTGAAGACTAAGTAAAAAAAAATTGTAAAAATACTTCAATAAATTTTTTGTTGATTATGAGAGCTGAAAGGAAAATGTTTTGTATATATTCAAGAGAGTATATTAAAATTATTTTCATTAATTTCTTTTTGATTTTTAATGAGGCTACTAGAGAAATTTAAATTTATACTTTTATTGGACAAGCTGGTGTGGAGACTGGCTTGGGGAAGGAAAGAACTGAAGACCAAGAGAAGACAGGAAGTTATAGCAAAACACTAGACAAGAGAGGATGAGGGTCAGATCTAAGGCAGTGACTGTGGGAATAAACAGGAAACAATAGGTAAAAAGGCTTTTAAAATAGAATTTGACAGGGGCCCCTGGGTGGTTGAGCATCTAACTTCAGCTTGGATCATGAACTCCTGGTAGTGGGTTGGTGGGTTCAAGCCCTGTGTGCATCTTCTCGTCTTCGAGTTTAGCTTCCCTCTCTCTTAAGTCTCCCCTTTCCTGGGGCCTCCTAGCTCCCTGGTGGTGCACAGCCTGCTTGGGATTCTCTTTCTCCTCTCTCTCTCTCTCTCTCTGCCCCTCTTCCACTTGTACTTTCCCTCTTTCTCTCTCCTTCTCTAAACAAACAAATAAGTTAAAAAATTTTAAAAGAGGAATTGACAATGATTTTTCTGGATGTGGGAATGAGAAAGAGGGAGTTGATAAGGCTGCATATTAAGTATCTAGTCTGGGTGATGGAGAAGAAAAGGAAGACGGTTTTTAGTCCTTGACGCATATGGGTTTCAGTGTGGATCTCCACGTGTCTGGAGCAATGGGGAACTCGATGTGAAGCTCAAGAGAGAGACGAGAGTGGGGTTATAGATTCAGGAGTCAACAAGGAAGAGGTGACAGCTGAAGCACAGAAATGAGTGAGACCACTGAGCTCGCTCACAGAGGGTGGGCGGAGTGAGCATTAAGCACAGAGAACCGGGCACTGATGGAGGTTAGGGCTCAGAATTAAATTTGTGGACAGGAGAAGGGAGGCTGGCGAGCTTGACTGAGGTTGGTCAGGGAGGACCCAGGAGACCATGGTAGCACATAGACCAAGGGAGATCTTTCCAGATGGAACACTACAAATGCAGGAAGTGGAAGCTGTTGGCCGGGCTGTGTCAAGAAAGCCCGCAGGTGGTGTTTGCTGGGAGTAAGCCTTTGATGAGTCACCTGAAGACATGTCCGCTTGCAGAAGGTCCAGCATAGAGCAGCAGGTGATGAAGGCGACTACAGGTACAGGGCGAACTCTGTGAAGAGGATGGATGCCAGAGAAGGTTGGTGGGGACTCGGAGGCTGCAGAGGGAGAGGGGGCACTGGCTGAGGACGAGGATTGTTAGGCAAAGGGTGAAGGAGGGAGAGCCTGAAGACAGAATGGGGGAGGGTGATAACTGCCAGAGCAAGACCAAGACGATGAATTGGGGCAGGAGATGGGTGAAAATAACACATCTGGTAGTCTTTTATTCATCTCCTCCCCCCCCCCCCCAACACTTTAAGAGCCACATCTCCCTCCACCTCGAGGATCCGACCTTTCCACCGGCTAGGTTCAGGTCAGGTCACATGGGAGAGGGAGCGGCGAGTTTCCAGCATTGCTCTTGCAGCCACCTGCCCCCCATGGGGTACCGCACGGGAGCTTTGGGGAGTGGACAGCATACCTCCTCCTGTGCGGCTGGGCTTGGGAGGCCCAACCCCACCTCCCCCCGCTCCCGGCCTATGTGAACGTCCGCTCCGGGAGGCCTGCCTGAAAGCCAAGATCACTTCTTCTCTGGCAACCAGCACCTCTGCCCAGAGCCCAAACTGAAAAGAGGCCTCGCATCCTTCCCGCACCCCGAGTTTGGGCTCCGGCTGCAGCGCCCGGCTTTCCCCGGCAGGGGCGCTGGGAACCCGCGAATGGCCGACTCCCATCCAGCGCCCGAGCCTGCGCCCACCTCAGCCTTCCGCGCCGCAACTTTTTTAGGGGCGTTCCGCCGCCAACGGTCTTTGGATACCCCTAGACTCCAAGACACGCCTCCTCCTGGGCTGGACGCTGTGACCGGCTTGGTTCTCCGGGGCGAGCCTCCTCGGTTCCCAATTTCCAGTTTAGCTCGGGTTGGAAAAGCCCGTCCGCCAGGGCGGGGGCCCCCGGGAGCCGCTGGCTGCCGCCCTCTGTGGCCGGGTGATTCCCAGGCCGCCTCCAGTCCCGCCACCCGCTTCTTTCCTCTGGCCTCTCCTTTCGCACCATTATCTCGCCTTTCCTCCTCCACCTCATTTCTCCTCTCTTCTCCCCCCTTTCTCTCTTCCCCTCCCTTCTCGTACCTTCGCCCCACATTTCTTCTCTCCCCCGGCTTTTCCCTCCCTCTGGCTATGCTTTAAACCTCACCGGCAAAGGAACTCTGCGTCTAATCCCGAGGAGGAGGGGAAGGGCCTGGAGGCGGTCACGCTCTCCAAGACCCCTCCCTCCATCCTACTCCTTTCTTAACAACCCCTCCTCCAATTCCGTGCTTCTTGCCTTTTCAACCCCTAGAAATCATGGGAGCTTCGCGGAGCCGGTGGGCTGCACTACGTGCCCGGGCCTGGGGCCTGTAAACCACATCTTCTCGTCTTCGACTTTAGCTTCCCTCTCTCTTAAGTCTCCCCTTTCCTGGGGGGCTCCAAGGTCCCCAGCCCGGACTGCGACCCACGCGCTCAGGCTGCGCTTCTGGAGCGGGGTCCCGGGTGGCCTGATTAGCCGGCGCTGGGCTGGGCCGGGGCCCTCCCACTGGCAGCCGACACTTTGAAAGAACAACTGAGCCGGTTCACAAACGAACCTTGGAAGAGGGAGCGACCTCAATCCCAGGCTAGATGATGGGGGCTGGGTCCCCCCGTGGGAGCGAACGGTTTTTCCTCAGCTCCGACCAGGGGTTCCAAGCAAGAGAGCCGTGGATGGGGGAGAGCTGGCTGCCCCTGCCCCTGCCGCCGGCGCCTCCTCGATCTCTCCCCTCGTCCTCCAGGAGGCTTAAGGAATCGCCAGGTTACATCGGCGGGCTGTGGGGGAGCATGGGTGCGCGGGGCGCCAGGAGGAGCGGACTGTCCGGGGCGGCCTGCCTCGCTCTCAATATCGCCTTTCTGACGACTCGCAGGCTCAGGAAATGCAAACACAGCCCGTGCGTGATCCGAGAGCGCCCACGGCCCGAGCCGACCCCTCCCCGCCCCACACCCCACGGCTCACACTGACACGCACACAAATGCGTGCAAACGCGCACGCACGGAGGCGCGCGCCCCCGCACAGCGAGCCAGCCCGGGCTCCACCAGGTGCCCCCACCCCGCGGCGCCCGCCGGCTAGCCCGCCAGCCCCCGACGCACCCCCGGCCTCACCCTCTCCCGCCTGCGCGCACGCACGCGCACGCACGCAGTCCCCGCGCCCCCGCACCGGGTGGAGGCGCAGAGTGCGAGGGGCGGGGGGCCGGGGGCGGGGGGCGGCGGGAGGGGCGGGCCCGGGAGCCTCGAGAGGAGTCCCGGGTCCATCCCGCGCTCGGCTCCCGAGCGCCGCCTCCGCACGCGCAGGCTCGGGTCTACCCCTTGGCTTCCGAACCCGAACAGTTGGCGCTGAAAACACTTTACTCCTCCTCCTCCTCGCTCGAGACCCCCCATCCTCCCTGCACGCCATCTCCCGCCCCCCACAACAGGCCCGAAGAGTAACCCCCTAAAGGCGGCCAGAAGCGGCTCCGAACTCTTCAGCGGGAGCAGGTTGGAGGCTGGGTTTCGGAGAGACTCTGGATTGGGGTCCGTCGCCAGCCCCTCCTCCTGGATCCGGCTTGATTTTCATATTTTAAAAGAGGATTTTCTCATTACCTTTGAACACCCCTTTTAACAAAATTTCTGGAGGACCTCGGTGAGGAAGACTGTGAGGGATCTTATTTTAAGGGGGAAAAAAAGCACCGAGGGGGCATTTATTAATTTTTCTTGGGTTTTGGAATCACCCTTTCGAGAGAGCGAGCGATCGAGAGCGAGGAGGGAAGAGTGGAGAGGACCCGCGAGGCGCGCCAGCCCGAGCCACCTCCTTCCCGGCCGCCCCCTCCCCACTCCCCCCGACACACACTCTCTAGCTGGCTCGCCGGCGCGCGCACACCCCCCGCGCCGGACCCGCACCTCGGCGGGCGCCACACTCTCGGCAGCCCGAGCAGCGGCAGCCGCAGCGGGATGGAGGCAGCGCGCACCGAGCGCCCCGCAGGCTGGCCCGGGGCGCCTCTCGCCCGGACGGGGCTCCTGCTCCTGTCGACGTGGGTCCTGGCCGGCGCCGAGATCACTTGGGGCGCGACGGGCGGTCCTGGGCGCCCCGCGGCCCCGGCTTCGCGGCCGCCGGCGCTGCTTCCTCTCTTCCCGCGGGCTGTGGCAAGCCAGTGGCCGGAGGAGCTGGCGACGGCTCGGAGAGGCGCCGCGCTGGGGCGCCGGCCCGGACCTGAGCCGCTGTCCCGGCCAGGCGGTGGCAGCGGCGGAAAGAAGCAGGGAGAAGGCGGGGTGCTGTCGCCTGCAGGCGCGCGGTGGGGACAAGGCACCCCGGCTCCAGGCAAGCCTGCCGGCGCAAGGAGGAGTCGCCGGGCGCAGCCCCCCAGTACCCTGGAACGCGGGGACGCCCGGGCCACTGCCTTGTCCGATGGTTCCAAAGGAAGCCGCCCTGCGGCCAAGGGTCTCCGGGAGGAGGGGAAGGCGCCGCGGGCCGGGGGAGCTGCGGCCGAAGAGCTCCGGCTGCCCAGCACCTCGTTCGCGCTGACCGGGGACTCGGCCCACAATCAAGCCATGGTGCACTGGTCGGGACACAACAGCAGCGTGAGTACCCTCCAGACCGTGGTCTCCCGACAGCAGGGCCGAATGCGGGGTGGGGGAGCGGGAATGAGGGACAGAGAGTTGCTCGAGGGTCGAGGCAGAGGCGGGGGCGCCCTGGCTTGTAGAGAGAACAGGTTCATCCGGCTTCCCCCACGCCCCCAACAGGTTAGCGGAGTTTGTTGTAAGATGGTGTGTACGTTTGTTTGCTGGAGACCCTAGGTTTGGGGCAGCCCAGAGGGGAGAGGGGCGAAGAAGTGTCTTAAAGACGAGCAGGGGAGGGTCTGTGGTCCCTTTCCCTGGCACACGGCTTGGAGAGTCAATTTTCCCCTCGGGCGCTTGAATTCGTGGGTGAGGACGCGGTCTGAATCGGCTAAGGACCCGCTGGGCAGACTGACGGATTCCTTCAACTGCCGAGCCTCCCCCGGTTCTCCCCTCCAATCACGCGAAAGGGGACGCGGGAGCTGAGGCCACTCAGACTCCCAGACTCCTGAGGGTCTTGGGGCCGCTGCTCTCCGCTCCAGGCGCACTTTCTTCCAGCCCTGGGGGGAGGCTGCGCCTAGTCCACCCAAGCCCCGGGCTTCACGAAACAGAGCCTCCCTTCAAAACCCAGGCAGCTGCCTGGGAAGCTGTAGGAGAGGCAGTAAAAAAGTTTAAAGCGTGAAGTCAAATTCAGCACCCATTCCGCACCCCTCACCCTGACGCATGCACAGGCACACCTAAGCCTCTGAGCAAAACACTCGCCTCGGCCGCTGCGTCCAGCACCACAAACGGCTCCGGGAGCGGAGTTGGGTCCCCGAGGTTTCTGCGCACCTCTCCACCCGGTTCTCTCCGCTGCCAGGTTCCCCTGAGAGCAGCTGCACCGACAGGTGGCGCCCTTGAGTTTCCACTCCAGCGGCCCCAGCGCTGACCGCCCCGCGTCCGGCTTGGAGTTTGAGGGGCCCAGGGCAGCTGCTGCAGCCCGAAGAGCGAGTTCGGAGGAGCTCCCCGATTCCCGCCGCCCGCCCGAGCCCAGCCCCTTGCGGCTGGGCCAAAGAAACGGCGGCGGACGCGCTCTCTGGCGGATGACGGGGGGTGGGGTGGGGGCGAGGGCTCCCACTGCCCTCGGTCCGCGGCTCCCACTTTCAGCCGGTTTGGGGAAGATCCTTTCCGTTTCTCTGGCTCCCCGGATCAGATCGGAACCCGGCGTTGGGCAGAGTCTGGAGGGTGATGGATGTCTGTATAGGCCGCTTTGGGGGAACTCATTCGATGGGAAAGCTCCTCCCCTCCCCTTCATGTCTCTCTTTATGACTGGCATCAAAGATTTTCTGGGTAATTCTCACCTTATTTTAAAGGGGCTCTGGGGTGTCGCAGGGGTGAGGAGTGAATAACAGGAAAGCCGGGAGTCCGCAGAGTGTAGCACATCTGCGCTGCCCGGAACACGGTTTCTGGTTCTCAGTTACACGCGCAGCCAGCCCAGCCCGGTACGGACGCTGGGTTGGAAGGATTTGTGCGTTCGGCTCCCCAGCGGCGCGGTGGCTGGCTTCATCTGCCTCCGGTGAAGGCCCCCATAGCTTGGGGGGCGCAGCTCTGGCCGTAGGGGGTGGGCATCGCAGGCCTTGGCAGGGCTGAGTGACTGAAGACTTGGAAGTCTCCAGAGGCACAGAGGGAGAGGGGGAGAGAGAGGTAATTCTCTGACAGTAGGGGGTGTGAATCTCAACTTCGTTTTAGTTTGATAATGAGGAAGTGTGTGTGTGTGTGTGTGTGTGTGTGTGCGCGCGCGCCCGCGTGTGTTCATGTTCATACTCCACGAGGGGGATGAACAGGATGCGTGGAAGTAAATGTACCTCAGGAAGAGGAGGTGCTGTCGTTGCTGTCCTCACATATCTATGACTGTATTACCTCCACATTTGGACAGTATAAATCCACAGTGCCTAAAGAGTTTTCTTATGTCTCTGCTTTTACTTGAAGGGTCGTTTTTTTGTGTGTTGACTTGTCCCCTGAAGATGGAATTTGAGAGAGATCACTTTTTGCAAATAGTAGTTACATCTGCCTGTCTTCAATGCAGTTATGCAGCAGAGGAGGTGAGGGGACAAGTCTAGCCCTATGCCCCCTGGGGAAATGGCTCATGTTGAGTTGAAAGAGGGGCAGAAACCCTGGGGGATGGACCAGTTGGCCTTGGAGCCCTTAGTGACAGCAGTGAGAGTCCGGCACTCTGCAAACAGCCCACAGGATGCTTATTGGTTGTGTTCTTGGCCAGTCTTAACTGTCCAAGCAAAGGACGCAGCAACACACGTGGGTGCAGGGATCCCATCCTGTCCTTTCTTTCTGTTGGAGAGAGGGACTGCCTCTTTGCCTCCTTGGCTGGACCTGCCTCTTCTGACCACACTGTGTAGGCAGTTTCAGTGAGAAAGGCTTCGCTCAGGATCAGATCTGTGCTGCTCTGGGGGAGGAGGGGGAGGTATGTTAACATGGTGCTCTCTTTGAGTGAATCTAAGGAGACAACCCCTGCTAGAGAAACTGGGAAACCAGCCTCTGTGACATGACATTACCAGGCTAACCCCCCCATTCCTGAAGGTAGCAAAAAAAAAAAAAAAGATGCTCCAAATAAAAGTCAGGGTGAGCGGTGAGTGGGATGATGAAGTTTCTGCAAGCTTCCTTCATCATTGGTTTCAAAGTGGAGAGAGATATCCTAACACTAAGCTCTTTTGATGTGAAAAGAGAGTTCCATCTTGCCTCTGATACCCGAAGTATTAAACATGTCCTTTTCTGGGAAGACCACCAGTTTAGTGTGAATACTAGGGTTTCGGCCCTCCTTCCAAGTGCCTTTGGTGGACCTCATTACTTGACATGAATTCCCTTTGTGGGAGGGTTTTCAGTCACCCCATCAAACTCCAGTCTGACAGTTGGCAGTCAGGCCTGCAGAACTGGACACGCTCCACTCCATTTGTCCGTGTGCCTAGGGACACCAGGGTAGAAGGAGATCCTTGTCCAAGGCTTGGGTCATGTGTTCACTTTGGTTCAACGACTGTGGTCAGTTGGCTTGGGGGGCAAAGGAGAAAGTGCCCAGCAGGCTTGTACTAGAAGGTGTCGGGAAGGACTGGAGTCTGGGTCTCCCTCTGACCCTTACTACCCTGCCCAGGTGTTCCTGGTGAGAGATGAGTGAACTTGGGCTTGGAGCCTCTACACTGGAGAGGCATTTGCCACCCTCTGTTTTCAGCAGTCTCAAGCTGGATTCCTGGTGATTAATGGGTAAGAGAGTGTTTCACAAACACCCGGAGGGAGCTCCATCCCCACAGCTTGCAGGGAAACAGAAAAACACATCATTCTGCCCTTCTCCTTCAAATGAAGGAAGATGCCTGCTGCTTGCTTCTTGAATTGGCAAATGGCTCTGGAGACTGGAAGGTTGTAAGGGCGACAGTCCACTTCTCCGTGCCCCCTCCTCCTGGGAGTAACCCCTGATGGGGATCCCCCATGCATGGTACCAAGGTGAGAATGTTGCATTCTCCCTTGGATGACCCCATTCCTTTCCAGCAGCGACTTGTAGCCTGCTGCCCCTGCAGTGTGTCTGGTTGAAATGACTTGCCAGAGAGTAGTTTTCAGTTAATGTGCCCAACACTACACTTTGGTGTAGAGAAGCAGGGAATGCTGGTAATTGCAGGTTCCTCCAGATAACCCTTCCCTGGGCCTGCGAGGGGGTGGAACACACAGATGTTCCCAGGCGGGATTTCATACCTTTAACTAATTCAGCTGGACTGTGTTCTAAAATATTTACTCCTAATGTGCAAAATAGTGACAGCTTTGATCATATTAATTGTATATCACTCACTGGAGCAGCTAATTGTGGCTCTCAAGCAGATTTTTCAAATAGCTTTTGGCTAGATTGTCTTGCCTTCATCGTCCCTGCTCACAAGCCTTGTGTCACAATATCTTAATGCATTTTGCCTTCTCAGAGGCTTAATAAAGAAGGCTGCCACAGAAGCCATTCTTCAGGGGCTGGCCAAAAAGAATCTGTTTTTAATTAATATTACAAGGGGAGCCTCTCCTTTGAGCTGGAGCTGGGGAATGCAGTGGGACATCACAGCCCTAATTGCTCCCAGTCTGGCCTGGGGTTGGGGGTGGGGTGGAGGGAGGAGGGGGCTGGACACAGGCTATTTGTCTCTATTTGTCTGCTCTGCGTTTCCTTTGATGGCTGGGTTACAGGGTGTGATTTGCTTCTCAGATTCTGCAGTGATTTCCAAGGTGAGCAGAATTTGCAAACTCCTTAATTGGGAGGCCTGATTTAATGATTGCAGAAATGCGGTGGTTGGAACTTGCTTTGCACTTGGCAAAGAAGAAGTGCTGGGAAGTGGCTTCCCCAATTGTGTTGGATTTAAGAGAAGTGACGGTGGGGGTGGGGTGGGGGGTGGAGCTCCAGTGGCAAGAAGGCTCAGGGGTCAGAAAGGAGAACTGCTTTTTCCTTGGCCTGCATAAATCTGTTATTGTCACTGGGGAATTTTGGAACTGGATGGTATGTGGGCTCTGAATCATCCTGTAAGGAGTAGAAGGCTACAACAATGCCAGACAGGCCGAGATAGGAAGATGCTTCTGAAGAGCTGGTTAATCCAAGGCTAGGTGCACCTGAGGCCTGGTGACTTGACTCACCTGTCGATTTCCTGCTTTCTTTGGCCCCCTTGGCCGACTTGAGACACTTTTCTTATAGAGGGAAAAGATCAAAGCATGATTTTTCAGCGAGCTTGGGAGGAAAGAGATCTAATGAAGTTGGAGGTGGAGAAGAGAGAATGTAGTGTCAGTGGGCCACCTTGGGTAAGCGGAACAGACCCTGGGGGATGGGTGGAAGTTGGTCACCATCCTTATCCCCTGGCATAGGGAGTGACTGAGAGAAGGGTCTGGATGGTGCTTTGGTTTTGCTGGTAGTGAGTGGAGATATGAGAGCTCTCACATGCAGGAGGGACTCAGCCACGTTTGACCAAGTGGGCGAAGGATGACCAGCCTCAAGTCTTATTGAAAAAAAGCTGTGAAGGAAT